TATTCAATTCTTATTATTCACATAACAAGAGTTGTTATTCTTTAAATAAAACGTTGTAATTAAAACTTGTTTTTTAATAATAGAAATAACATTTAATAAGTTGTGATTTTTAATTTAAAAATTATGATTGAAGTTTGTTATTTCAGTAAAAATAAAATAATTTTTTTATTTTAAAATTTATTGATATAAAATTTTTTAAACATTTTATTAAAATTATAACATTTTAAAAAATTAAATTATTATTTATGTAATTAGGAGGAATTTTATAAATATATGGAGATAATTGGTCCCTCGATCATCACAGCTAAAAAGTCAACCACACGATAAAATTTGTGCATCGCTATGAGTATTCATGGACCCACATTTTTAGCTATATGGTACCTAGTTACTCTTTGTATTTTTATATATAAAAATTTTTTTATTCTAAATATAAAAAATTACTAGTATATTTTTTAATAAATGAATTATTAAATTTTTATTAAATTAAAAAAAGATAAATACTTTTATTAATTTACTTAAAAAATTATTTTTTTATTTACAATACTTTAAGGTAAAATTAAAATGTTGCTATGTTTTTAATTATATAACCAACTTTTATTAATTTGTATGATTCAATTAAAAATATTTTATATATAAGGACAAAGGGACCATGCCCTTGTAGGCATACCGCTATGACTTCACACTATTCTTTTTATGAGGAAATTATATATATAAAATAAAAAAATTGTATTTACAGCCCTCACAAGAGACATTATAGTTTTAAAAAATGTTGAACGAGCCAATACCTTTAACTTCAAGCGAGGGAACAAAATATTAAATTTTAAAAAATATAAATATAAAATATTGAAATTTGTAGGATAAAATTTATAATTTTTTTTAAAGTGAGGAGATGTATTTCCTTGCTCACCAATATGAAAGGATTTCTTAAATCTCACTACAAATCCAAGACATTCAAATGAAATTAAATTTTGTGATGCAATTATTAAAATACCCCTGTTCATTAGAAAAAACCACTACCGTGACCTTGCAATCAGGTTTTAGCTTGTGCCGTTTTGACCAGCCACTTGACACTACTCACATGTAACAGTTTTATAAATTATAAATATACATATACAGATGTCGATTAATATGGATGATTCAACTACGCTGATAGCTCAACGGTCCAAAAAAAAAAAACTACGTTGATAGCAAGTAATGACATTGAGGTGGTGAAATTACCAAATTCTCCGCGACTTAAACGTCACGATACCGTATCCCTTTGGTAATTGCCAACACGGTAGGGTGAACGTGATGCGTAGTTAGAGGAGAAATTGGACTATTTGCGTTAGGGGAGCAATTATTTTGATAAAAAGGAAAAAGGAGATAGAATGATGAAGCAGTGCTGGTAAACGACACCCAGGAAATGATTTTTTTTTTTTAAATACAAATCGGAAAACAAAAACAAAAAGTACGGACTCATTTAATTACTAAAAAAAATGTAATGAAATATATTAAAAAAATTAATAAAAAATAAACTAAATTACTATTAAATATGATAAAATTTATTAATATATATTATAAATATAAGAATCATTATACCTTTTAAAAATTTTATCAATTTTAATTCTTATCGCAATGAACTAAATTACTCCTCTTATTTTATAAATTTAATTTACTATTTTTTTTAATAATTTTATTTTTTTTATTTTGTTTCTCTCTAGCAACCAACGGGAATTTAAAAGTCAAAGACTCTATAACAAGATAAACCAATCATATCTTTGTGCAGCCCATTGACACAAGTCCTCAAGAAGCTCATCCAGGAATTGACACTTGAGAAATGAAAATTTTATCATTACTGTCGGCCAAAGGTCTCTCCCCTTCTTTCTTTTTATTTTTTTTTATTTTTCTCATCTCAATCACACATATTATTTTAATAAATAAATATTTTTAAAATTATAAAATTAATGAATGGTTGAAATAAAAAAAGTGAAAGAAAATAAAGAGAAAAAAATGAAGGGTATCCTCTCTCCATTGCTGCTACCATTTTCATTTCATCCCCAACCTCAAACCTCACTACCAAATATATCCACTAAGCTCTCTAATCTTATGACATTTTTATTAATTTTGTTTTTAAAAAAGTATGTAAGTTGTTTTGCTAACTAAAAGAAGCCAAAAAAAAAAAATCATGTCTATAGAAAAGGGCCATCTCGTTGCACCCGCATTCTTGTGTTTTAAATAGAAATTATTATATAAAATACGAATATAAAAACTAAAAAAATGATTTTAATGAATTTTCAATTACTTCTTAAGAGATGTGACCTCCTACTCAATATAGGTTTCCTAGTTATGAGTGTGTGTGTGTGTGTGTGTGTGTGTGTGTTTACCAGAAAAACGTGCCGATTGGATGTGGCAATGGGACATGTTCTTCGAGGAAAGTTTGGATTATTATGACGTTAACTACGTACCAATCGAAAACGATCGACAACAATCAACAACTAATAACAAGGAAGAATGACGCACAAGGACCACGAAAATAAATAAATTGTTACTCCTTTCATTTAAAAATATGAAATATTTTTTTAAAAATTAAATATTAAAATATGTTAAGTATTTTTAATCTTTTGAGGTATAATTATTATTTTTTAAAAAATAATTTTATTAATAATAATTTTATATTTATTATAAGGTGTTTAATGGGGATAAATATGAAAAGATAAGATTAGATTAAAAGTAAATAATTATTTTATTAATGAGTAAAATTTAATAAAAAATATCTTATATTTTTAAATAAAAAAGTCTAAAGGATTGTGGAATTTTAAGATGCAGAAGAAGCGCTGAGTTTATTTTTCTTCTCTTCAAAAAAGTAAATTTAAAGAAAAAACTCCTGCATAGTTGACGCTTGACGCCTAGGTTAACTGCAAATGATAGACGATGTGTTGCTAAACCTTGAAAAGTATATCGCAAATATAGGAAGATATGTTGCAAGCAAGTTATAAATTTTATAAAGTTTTGTAAATCTTGGAAGCTAATAATTTGCAAATGTTGAAAGCTCAGAAGTAAATAATAGATGGTTAGTTGGAAATCAGTTTTAAATTGAACTTTTAGAATTTCAACATATAAATAATGAGTAAAATACATCCCTTCTGTTCTACTAAAATTACAGATACATTTTCTCTATTTCTAAAACAAATATTTTTGTCCAATCTTTAATATTCTTACGAATATTTCCTTAAAGATTTTAAAATACTGAATTTTTTACTTGTAATTATGTTAAAAATTAAAATTCATTAATTTTCTCTTATGATCTAATTGTCTACTCTTGCTCTCAATTTAATAAAACTTTGAATAATTAAGCATGTAAAATTTACATAAAAATATAAATTTTTTTGTTAAAATTAATTAACTTTAAAGAAAAAAATATATCATATTAAGTAATTTATTGTATTAAAATTTTATTTTTAATATTATTTTAGCAAATTATGTATTCAACTTTTTAAAAATTACTAAATAAATACTTTTAAAAAGTATTTATTTAGTAATTTTTGATCTATCTTTTATGCTTTAACGGTCAATTAATAGCTGGTTAGATAGAAATAAAATATTAAAAATAGAGAAGATGCTTTTTTTGTAACTATTCATATAAAAAAAGGTTTGTATAGGATTTAAAAACAAAAAGAGTATTTGTAATTAAGATAAAATAGAGTAGAGATTAGAATATTTTACTTATAAATAATTTACAACCAATTGGCTTGCATTTGTAAAGTTTTCATAATTTATAACTCATTTGCAAATGACATTCCCGTATTTGCAATGAACCTTTCACCATTTTAACCGAGATTTTACGATTTGCGACTCATCTTCTGTTAATTTGAGGCAAAACTGTGTAAATTATGTATGGGCATTTTTTTTTTCATTTACTTTTTCTTTAAAACTTTGTTATTCTCATTTTAAAAATTTGTGGTCCCTCAGAATGATTAATTTCCTTCCATGTTACTCTTGTGTCATTCTCCCTAATATCAATGATAATATAATATTCTTTTTATCGAATTTGGCATCCAATCAAGTCCATGAACGGCGTTTTAGAATTTAGTTATAAAGTTCTTCTAAAATTTTAAAAAAAATTAACATAGAAAGTAAGAATGTAAGTTAAAGATCATTTTTAATCTTTTTACTTTATAAAATATTTCATTTCAATCTCTTAATTTTATAAAATATATTTTTAATATTCTAATGCTATTAATTTTATCACGAAAATTTTTAAATTAAACTTTTAAATATTACTAAAACATTATCAAATGTTGATTTATTGAATTTAATTTTTTAAAATAATAATGAATGGTATAAAAATAATTATTTAAAATTAACGGTATTAAAGTTAAAGGATTAAAAATATATTTTATAAAATTAAGGGATCAAATTTAAAAATTTTATAAAATTAGAGAACCAAAACTATACTTTGGCCGAGAATGTATGATGGAAAAACAAAAACATTTTGTCCTGATGAATTAAGTTAATGTTGTTATTATTTTTGTGTTTTCACTTTTAATGCTTATATCACTCGTGCATCTTCTCTCATTTGTCATTTTCATCTCTTTTTGATTGAAAAATAAAGTAGGCCTATCTCTTTCAATTTTTCTTCTAGGTCTTGGTTCTCATCTTGGGGACTTTATTTTTGCCGGAACATCTTATATTTTAAAATATTAAATTTGTTTTTAAAATATTTTATAATTAAGAATGGAGGGAGTATTAAATATCAATTATTTTTAAACGGCATCTGTATATGTACACGTAAAAATTTTATGGGATATACTGTTTTGTTAGTTGTAACTATCATCTCTTTTCAAGGGTCCCTGGCATGGCAGCTGGCTCCTTTGCTGTTTCCGTCATCTCATTAATAGCTCATATGAATTTTACACGGAAGCCAAACAATCCACTGTTAGCCTTTAAGGCCTAAACACATCTCTATCTCTCTCTCACACGCAACACACAAATTCTGCCTTCAAGTGTTTGAAGAGGCAATTCTCCTAGCCACAGAGATGGATGACATGCCAATGATGAAAAATGACACGACGATGATGAAGATGAAGATGAATGAGCTTCTATTGGGGCAAAGATGCCATAGTCCTCTTCTCTAACTGGCCAAACCACAGTCTTGGCATGTACATCTTAGCCCTCTTCTTCGTCTTCGTTCTCGCCATTCTTTCTGAGCTCCTTTCTAATCAGCCAACCCTAAAACGTGGGGCTAGCCCTCTCCTGGGAGGCTTCTACAAGGCTGTTTTCCATTTCTTTCGTACCAGCTTCGCTTATTTGGTCATGCTCGCTGTTATGTCCTTCAACCTCGGCATCTTCATAGCTGCTGTCGCTGGCCACACCTTGGGATTCTTCATCTCCAAGTATCGAGACATTGACCAGGCCAACACAGAACAGAATAGGTCCTCCATTATTACCCAGAAAATCTAAAACACTACTTTAATTAGCAGAAATCCATGTGTCACAGTACATTGTGATTTTCTTGTTTTGTTTTCCTTTTCCATCGCAGGTGCTTCTTGGCTAGTTAATTTGTGAATTAAGCTTGATTTCTCTAGCAATCTTTTGGTTTAATTTCGTTGGTTTGTGCATTGTTTTCTGGGTTATCTTAAGGATGTCATATCAGCACGAAATACTGATGCACATAATATGTTGTTAGGGTTTTGGCATATACAACCTAGGCAAATAAACCGTCTTGATATATCAGCCACATACGTATGAATATGTCAGAAACGAGAAACCTGTGTGTGATGCTGTTGCACATATCTGGATTAGTATTTGTTAAAAAATGGACATGTGAATGCCTATTTTGTTATAGAAACTAAGAATGTTCGTCAAATTAAACCTTTATTGGCTCTGTAGTTTTCTGATGCTATCTTCTGTTACAAGTGAAAGAGTTGTGACTTTGCGCTTATGTGTCAAGATTTCTACAAGTCCAAAAGCCCTTGAACTTGTTTTCAATTCTTCCCCTTTTCCTGGGCAGAATTTGGCACAAGAATAATGTCTAGGCGTTCTCTTTCGTCTTCTAAAACATTCCATGAAGAGGGCCTTCACTAATTTTAAGATGATTGGCATCTCTTTAGCATGAAAATTACCACTCTCTCCTTATATTGACCCAACAAATTATTCATTGATCCAAAGTCTTTTCCCAAATTTCTTAGTGTCCTTTTACTTAGAGATTTGAAAAATATGTCTAACAGACACAAATTCACGTTTCCCCCCTTATACTATAGCAAAGGTGATAAACACCAACAGCTACTTCTGAGTATTAACAAGAATCTGAAAACAGGGCTGCTCAATGAAATATTAAGTGGCTGGACTTTGCCACAAGCGAAGAGCAGAGAGATGGGGTGTTTATAACAGTCATAGGATTGACAAAATGCTGTTACATGATTTTCAAAAACAATAAGGAGAATGGTAGAAAAGGAGAACACGAAGGAAGGACAAGAACACAAAAAAAAAACCGAAACGGAACTGTAGCAGAGGTGACAACCTTTAATTTTGAAAATCTAAAGCAGCGTAGTTATTTTTGTGAACTTCCTGCCCACTTCCTTGGCTTAAATCTCAGAACTTTCACTTCAGGACACTAATATATTATTGAGACTGGACTAAACCAAATTGTAGCTCTTCCCTGAAAACAACTAAATAGTTTATAATGCTTTCTCTCAGGGGATGCCGATTCCTTCAGCTATTCAACCGTTCAAGTTATCCATGCTTCATCAACGCAAAAAAAGCTAAACTTAAAAACTCTGGATTGCACAAGGCAAAAGATTAGAAAACGTCTTGGAGATTGAAACTTTTATGTTTCTCCTCAGACGAGGGAGAAAAAGAAATCCTTAGAATAACAGAAACAATGCCGTTAACTAGAACTATAAGAAAGAACGGGGGAAACAAAGAAGAAAAACAGAGAAAATATAGCGAGGAGTGAAATGATTAATGAGAAAAAGGAAAGATAAAGAACAGAGCAATAAAATCTAATTACCTGAAAGGTGAAGGAATTTCCGTCGGTTCTAAAATTTTGAAAACTCAAATGCAGGCCTTCATTTATGCTTTTCTCAACATGTTGTCCAACATCCGAATAGGGAATCACGGAAAACAGAGGAAAATACAACTGCCCGCCTTTTTTTTTTTTTTTGTAATACTTTCCATCCGAAATTACAAGATAATTTTGGGAGAATTTTTCTCTCAAAATATAAGATAATTTATTTTGCTAAAAAAAAGATAATTTCATTAAAAAATAAGAATTCATTAATAATATTTCTTAACATTACCTTTGAAATTGAAAAAAAAAAATAATATATATAACGTACTTCTCCGAATCAAAGTATAATACATTAGTAACTAATTTACAGTCCTCAAAAAAATAGTTGTAATCTTAATTTTTTTAAAAAAATTTATATCTTTTTAATTTTACCCTCATAAAATACTGTACATAAATACTTTGATAATGATAATTAAAATTTTAATATATTATTTTTTTAAAGAGTAATAAATAAAGTAGGAGTATAATTAAAAAAATAATTACTTCTTCCATTTAAAAATATAAGGCATTTGTAAATGAATCTTACTCACAATAAAGTAATTACATACTTTTCAACTAACATTATCTTTTTATATTTACCCCTATTAAACATCTTACAATAAATATAAAGTCATTATCAATAGCAAAACTTTTGAAAAAAAAAAAAGCAATGACTACATCTCAAAAGATGACTTATATTTTTAAATATTTAACTTCTCAAAAAATATCTTATATTTTTTAATGGAGGGAGTATAAAATTTACTCGATATCCTATATTTTGAACCAAGCAAGCATTTAAAATATACCTTATATTATAATTTGGAGGGAATAATGATTAAATATGTAAGACATTTTAAAAATTTATAATTTTATTTTTTAAAAAAAAGTAAATTTGTAAAGTATTATTATTATATTTATCTTATTTTAAATTATAAAAAAAATACTAAACAAAGTATGGGACTTTAATTAATTGAAATTCAATCCAGGGAGAGGGAAGAGACAACAAAGACAACATTGCGTTTCCAAGGAATGCTCTGTACACTGTCCGGTGCTTCAATTAAATTGGTGAGGAGCATGAAGCAGCAATTAGGCGCATAGATGTTGCAAACAGAGTTGGCGTCGTAAACGTATGAAATAGGTCTATTGACTGTGTTACATTATAGGCTCTAGTTACGTCATCATCGTCCTTCCCAGCACTAAATGCTTGCCGACCTGCGCAGCTCAATGTTGCTTTAACTTAGCTTTTGCCTGTGTTCATCCCAAGGTTGATTGCAGGTCTCCCGTCTCCGGCTTGTTGATCGACCGAGCAATTTTTTTTTTGACTTGTGTGCGTAGTTTTTATACTAAGAAGGAGGATTTCTTGTTACTTTAATCAATATTCTAGGAATTTTTCTCAGTATTTTCACAATCAGATCACGTACTATTAAATTGGTTTGAATGCTAATTCATGCTTTAGTAGTTACATTATTATAGAATAAAAGACTCAAAACTATAGTTTCAGGAAAAAAACTGAGTCAAGGTCGATTTTTTAACCATTGTCATTGATTTTGACACGGTTTTACTGATTCACCTTGGAGTCAATTTTGGGATATTCAGAATCAGACGATTGGCCAGATCTCGATCCCTCCGATTGAGTCAGCCGATGATGTTGGGACTCAACCGCTTTTTCCCGCTCAAAGCGAAGCGTCAATCTTACAGTTGAATATGAGGAGGAAAATCGTCACAGAAATGATGCGACCTAATTAAATAATCCTTGTTGGTATCTGAATTTATGGGCTGCCGAACAAATAGTGAAAAGTTGGCATTGACTTCAAGGTCAGCAGAGTGTGATGAAGCCCTGTTTAAACGGAGTTGACTTCCCATGATTGATGATTATTCCCCATTCTTATTCCGAATCATGCCAATTGATGCAGGTGCAGGAAAGAATTATAATATTATTGACACTATACACACACAACCCCACACCCACACACACGCAGGTATAATTTTGAAGATATAATTTTAAAAAGGGACAAGGGCGGGTAGAAAATTGGGCACTACAAAAAAAGACGAAGGTAATTACAATATGTTTAGTTGTTTTTACAGTAGTAACTAGATATTTTAATGAAATATGACTACTAAATATCGTTTAATCCTCGCAAGCGTAAGGATGATAATGTAGTCACTTCAATATTTGTCAAACTCCTCTGTTTTTTTTTCTTTTTGTTTTTTTAGCCATATTATAAATCATAGGATCAAGAATGCAAAGGTTTTCTTTCAAAAATCCATTAATTATAAGTAGTTCAAGCACGGGGATTTTTTTTTTTAAGCCTGCAAAAAATAGGCTTATTCACAAAAGCCCTTGTTGATAGTATTACACTATTCAAATAGCTTGACTTGTTTTCTCGGCTCTAATTAAGGAAAGTTATCTTAATTTTATTTATAAGAGACCCCAACTTCTTGTCTAAAATATTCATTAACATTTTCTTATCCTGGCTTCATGAATTGATTGCGTATTAATGAGATCAATTATTATAAGGCACCATTGAACTCCATAAAGAAGGTTATTTTTAAAAAATCATTTACAATTTTATCGTATATGTGGAATTTAATTAATTTTAAGTATAATTTGCAATGTCTAAGTAATATGATAATTCACGTTTTGTAAAAGGGATCGGAAGAAGTCTGACCGAAAAAAGAAGAACCAATGAAAATGATGAATGAAAGGGAAGAGGGTTTGTGTGGTAGGAGTTGAGCTAAGCGTTGAATCTGTGCCGCCCACTCATGGACTCCTCTTTTATTGTATTCCACGTTTTCAACTCATTTTGGGCCTTCGTCCACTTGCTTTCATTCACTCCTACTTCATTTCAAAATACTACGCCATTACTATGAGTTTTTTGTTTCGTTTTCGGTTTACATTTAATAAAAAAAATTTTGAGAGAATTTACTTATTTGTTGAATTTGATGAAAGCATATTTTAGATATGATTTGAATGTATTTTTTAGGGTTATCCAAACAAGACCTTACTATTCACTCCTTTCCATCCTAAACACCTAACTAACTAATTTATAAAAATTATGAAAATTGGTTAAATTAGATATTGGGAGAATGACAAATAAAAACTTTGTAAAAATATTAATGTCAAATGAAAATTTTTTAACACTGATATTTTCAAATTTTTTCAAATTTCAGTACCAAAATATGATTCGGTACTCCTAATCATATTTTGGTACTAAAATTTTTAATTTGATATCAATGTTACTATAAGGTCCTTACTTGTCATTCCCTCATTAGATATTTGTTTTTATCATGCCCAAAAAAAAAAAAGAGTTACTTTTCTTAAAATACTCTCCAAGGCAATCCCCAATAACATTTGCATATTGAATCACGAAAAAACAGCACAACCATCCAATTTGGATTAGTTGGGCTCAAACAAAGGAACATTCTGATTGATATCCCCAGTAACCATGTCAATTGTTGGCACCGTTCCTCTTCCGTTCTCCGTGAGGTTCTTTTCATTGGATGTCCCAGCACTGTTGGCCACTCGCATGTATATTGTTATATTATAATAAGAAAACTCGATCATCAATTTTTATAATTTTATTAGTTTTGCTTTTTAAGTGGGTGACACGT